TGTTACAAAAGCTTTTTATTTCAGATAAATGCTGATCTTTGGATCTTTCTATTCATCAAAGAATCTTGAAAAAAAATTGTACCCAACTTTTAAATATTATTATTAATATAGTTTCTTGAGCAGCAAATCAGCATATTATACTGATTTCTGAAGATCATGTGACACTGAAGACTGGAGTAATGATGCTGAAAATACAGCTGCGCATCACAGAAATACATTACAGTTTAACAGATATTAATATAGAAAGCAGTTATTTTAAATAGTAAAAATATTTCACAATATTACTGCTTTTGCTGTATTTTGGATCAAATAAATTAGACTTCTTTCAAAAAAAAAAACATTAAAAATCTTACTGAGTGTATCAATAAGCTTAAATAAATTGTCAAGCCAACATAATAATCTTATATATTAGATCAGTACAAAATATAAAAAATAAAGATTTTTTTTACATTTTTTTTTCAAGGCGTGGCTACGGCGTCTGAACGCGTCACGTGTTTGGGCGGAGCCGAGAGCGCACAGAGGAAGCTTCTGGAAGCGCGCGTGAGCTTCTCTTCCTTTATTCCGCGAAGCTGTGCTCCGGTCCTCGGCAGAATGTCCGCGGTAAAAGCGCTTAACCCGAAAGCAGAGGTGGCCCGGGCTCATGCGGCCCTGGCGGTGAACATCAGCGCCGCTCGAGGGCTCCAGGATGTGCTGAAGAGTAACCTGGGGCCGAAAGGCACGATGAAGATGTGAGTCTGTCTGCTAGCGGCTAATAGCGGCTTTGTTAGCACGTGTTTGTTATTCCTGTGCTTTCAGCTAACGGCGCAGATCTGAACCAACAGCCGTCGCTGCTAATGTCAGATTACAGTGTTTAGCAACCTGTTTATTAACGTACATGGAAGTGTAGGTTTGAGACGATTAACGTTATGTAGTTCGCATCAGAGCTATCAACTGAGTCATCGTGGCAGTAAACCTGCGTTCAGATGTCCTGGAGCTACATTTTTAAACGCTGTTATGGATGTTTGTTTGTTATTATGTCGGTAGCTCATCACATGTCTAATTGCATCTAGCCATTTAGAATGCATGAACCAAGATACTACACAAATGCGTCATATATGTATAAGATAACATGAATTTTTTAAATACAGTTGTAGTTTTTCCTGAGCAAACTTGGAAAGAAATGAGAATGACTGTGAAGTCTGTTCTGGTTTGGATTTGCAGATGATGTGAAATGGTCTTTGCAGACTGGAACAGAACATTTTGCACATCTTCCTTTTTTTTTTTGGGCCTTCGTCTCTCATCCGCTGCATCTGAAAGCATGTGCTGTCTGTTAGGCATAAGAATGAATGATAATTCTTTATTGCGTGTAATTCTTTCACAGGCTTGTGTCTGGCGCAGGAGACATCAAGCTCACCAAAGATGGGAACGTCCTGCTGCATGAGATGGTAAGAGCTGTGCTTCATGTTGCTGTGTGCATTGATGTGTAATATAGTGGCATTTAGCCCATATTGCAGGAGGGCTGTGACTTGCAGATGTAGCTGCTTCTCCAGATATCAGACTGACCCAGAATCAGTGTCTGGCGTGGTTTAATCTCAGATGTTGATTCAGCATGCTTTTGCGTGTGTTGTGTTGAATCAACATCTGAATCTGAGCGTGATCAGTGAGTAGATGTCTGTAAGTTCTTAATGCCTTTATTATACATACCCATCACAAAATATCTCATCTGCTGTTACAAAGTATCGTCTGGGCTTAATTTAGGGTTCACCCAAGAAAGGAAATTGTCATCATTTGCTCACACTCGTGTCTTTCCAAACCCGTAAACGTTGGTTACTCTTTGAAACACAAATGATGATATTTTTAATAAAATCTGAGTTTTCTGTCACTAAAACTTAAGATCCAAAAATTTAAGTTTTTGTAAAATTAATGCATGTGAATTAAGTCTTGTGAAATTTTTTTTTGTCTTTTTTAGCGCCATTCTTCATTTAAATGACAGCAAGGATTGATTGTGATAATCTTTGAATCAGGAATTATAAATGGTTCAAAGAACGAAAAAACTAACTTTTTTTTTCTCCCCCAGAATTTAATAGAAAACCAAAACAAACCAGTTTGTAGTTGTTTCAGAACTGAACAAGTGATGATTTTTTTAAAAGTTGGAATATTTTTGTTGTTCTGTGGAGCCTAATAGAAGATGTTGTGAAGAAGCAAACTGTTTTGTTTCCCGTTGACTTCCATTGTTTGGACAAACAGATGGCGGTGGGAGCTAAACACTCATACAGGTTTGGGATGACATGAGGATGAGTGAAAGCAGGTAAATATTAGGGCTGTGTATCGCCAGCAAAGAAAAGATATGATACGGGACTGCACTGAATTTCACCTCAGCAGATTTTAGTTAAACAAACAGACACTGCATACTATACAGGGCTCAACACTTTTTTGTTTTTTTACTGGTCCGGTCGGACCAAAGGTTCAAGTTTTTACTTGCATTGCCAATATTTTCACTGGCCCTGCCACACAAATATTAAATGGTTGTTATCATTGTTTTTGACCCATGTCATATTTAATTCTAATAAAGAAGTGAAGTGACGTGACATGTGGCCAAGTATGGTTACCCATATTATGACAAATTTAGATACCAATTACATTTTACAATTCTCAATTCTATTTTCGATACCACAGCAAAAACTGCTAGCCCATCAAGTAATAAACTTTATTAACTCTTTCCCCGCCAAACACAGAATTTCCTGGGTTTCCGTGTTTTCACTGTTACACGCTCTAGGCACTATTACACATCGAGGCCAGAATCTCCCGATCAAAAACACAGGCAAGGAAGACGCAGAAACGAGAGATCTCGTATATAAGCAGAAATTAAAAATAATGCGATCATCAACAATAAACAGCATATAAATGTAATGTTTCCGAGTGAAATGTTTCCGATCCTGGAAGTGGTAAAGGACCGTGAAGCTTTGGGGGTGTTGATGAAGCAATCTGCTGCATCTTTGCTTTGATCAACTGAATATGATCCAGATGTAGTATTTGATCAAATGATTTTCTTTATTGGAAAATGTTGCTTTATTTATGAAACTTACCTACATTCAAGTGTTGATAACAAAAGAATGCTTGAAGCTAGAATAAAACATGCGCTGCTGTCACTTTAAGACCTAATGCACGGATGTAATTTACTGACACACGTTTGATTTTCTCCCAACTTTTTACATTTACACTAGGGCTGTCACTAACGATTATTTTGGTAATCGATCAATCTGTCGATTATTCTGACGAGTGATTGGATAATTGTATTTAAAAAAAAAATGTAATAAAAATAGACCTAAGCGAATAATAGCCTTTAAAATTACTTAAAATATTTATATAATAGCAATGAAGCAATAATAATGAGTTCAAATAAAGTATGAGAAGCAAGTAATCATATGGTTCTATTGAACAAAACTGTTGAAATACATAATGTATTCATGCAGTATTATGTCCGCGTGCAGGCAATTTTAAGACCGCACAGACTGTCTGCGTACAACAGCGCATGCGTGAG